ATTGGCATTTTGAATTTGTCTTATTTCTCAATTCAATCAGACAAGACTATTATAGTTTGGCAGTTGACTCGAGATGAAACCAATTATGGATTACCGCGTAAAGCTCTAACTGGGCATAATCATTTTGTGCAAGATGTGGTGATCTCTTCTGACGGACAATTCGCTTTATCTGCATCTTGGGATAAGACACTCCGTTTATGGGATTTAAACACTGGAACTACCACGCGTCGATTTGTTGGTCACGAGAAGGATGTACTTTCAGTATCTTTTTCGCCTGATAATCGGCAAATCGTGTCCGGATCAAGAGACAAAACTATTAAATTATGGAATACTTTGGGAGAGTGTAAATTCAATATTCAGGAAGAGGGGCATTCTGAGTGGGTTTCTTGTGTGAGATTTTCACCGAATCCATCCAATCCTGTTATCGTCTCTTGTGGTTGGGATAAACTTGTCAAGGTATACATTTTTTTTTAATTCCGACAACAACCGTAATCTCTACTTTTTATTCTATAATTAATAATTCATTATGAGAAAATAGGTTTGGGAATTGACAAAATGCAAACTTAGAACCAACCATATTGGACATTCAGGATATATCAATACAGTTACTATTTCTCCGGACGGTTCGTTATGTGCTTCTGGGGGCAAGGACAGTATTACTATGTTGTGGGATCTTAACGAGGGGAAACATTTATACTCCTTGGAAGCTGGTGATATTATCAATGCACTAGTGTTTAGTCCAAATCGTTATTGGCTTTGCGCTGCCACCTCTTCTTATATCAGAATTTGGGACCTTGAGACAAAAATTGTGGTGGATGATTTACAGGCAGCTTATGAGAATCAAAGGGACAATAAAAAGGATCAACATCAGTGCATCTCACTTGCATGGTCTCCTGATGGTACTACTTTGTTTGCTGGTTATACTGGTAGGGGAATTTTTTATTTACTATCATTATTATAGTGGATTCATCTCGTGTTAATTTGTACTCTTTTATTACGTTAGATAATAAAATTCGAGTATGGCAAGTTACTAGAGCCTAGCGTTTAATTAAGAATATTATATTATATGAAAATATTAGTTTATTATTATTGTTGTGTTGGTTTCATATTTTTTTTTTGGATAGAACAAAAATCATCCTTGTATTTTTGGACTTTTTGGGGAGTCAAATCGTAAAAAATAACATGCGTGAATTTTTGAATTAATGCCATAAA